AGTTACTCATATTTTGTATTTTAAATACGTAACGGCGGTACATGTATTCCGTTACTCCCCAACACTGGTGATCATTTCATTACAGTGCAATGTTCTGCTGGGAAGCCGTCGTTCCTGGCATTCATGGGGAAGCGACTTTCACTTGTTTCAACCAACTAAACATTGTTGTAGACGTGTAACACTTTCCTTTAAGGAGGAGACTGTTTTACCACAGTGTGAGAAGTGGTTTTAATGTTGTGGCTCATCTTTGACTGGGAAGGTAGTACAGACTTTTTTGTAAACTGGTGATATGATAATTGTATATCTTTAAAAAAAAACCTGAGCAATCATCTGAATCCAGACCTGCAGTTCTCATTGGTTCAAAACTTGATGTTTTATTCTTTCATATTAGTCTCGAAATACCGTCAAATCTGGGTGCTAGTGAACAAACACTGAAATGACAGGAATATGATTAAATCCACGATGTTTAATGCTACATTCAAGATGTGAATTTGTTTCATATACAGTACCTCATGTTTGGATGAACATTTGCTGTAACAGTTAATATTTTACAATGATTGTGTTTATTTTCTTTCTGTGCACTTTACGAATTCATGCTGACGTTTCCATCAGGATCTGTCGGCCATCCGGCTGCAAGCTCCAACACTTCAGCGCTTTTCATCTGTGTGCATATTAAACAGTGAGTCATTGTGTCACAGCAACACTGCTTACTCAGTTCCTCAGTGTCAGATCCTTCTTGATGGATTTGTATAGGCTTACAAAGGACTCTGCCCACACGTCTCTTTGGTATTCAGTAGCGGAGCTGACCATCTGATGGGCAGTGTACGCCAAAGTCAAGACAGTGCGCTCAAAATCGTGCTGATGCAGGTAGCCAGTATGATTTGAAAGACCGGATATGAGCCTCAATATGTCTGTTAGCTTTTTCGGAACGATCTCTTCGCAGATTAAATCCAGGTTTCTTGTCTTTTGAAGGGAAGCTAGTTCAGCATCTGTGACCGAAAACGCTCCACTGGAGTCAAAATGTATGCCAGTCATCAGTATCTGTATTTAGTGACAAGAAAAGAAGTAACTGTTAATAGTTACATTATCATTGTTTGCTTTTTACTCATAAAAACTCAAAGGTTTGTTCTTTTACCTCAAACAGCAGGTGAGCATCACTGATGGAGCTGATGAAAGTGGGGTTCGCCGCAGCCGTCGCTCCTTTTTTTATACTACTTGCAGCTGGAAATAAGGCTGGTGCACCAAGAGACACAGACAATGAAAATCGAGGGTGTTATGAAAGCATGAGCAGTTTCACATCTGGATTATTTCCATGCATCCAAAAGACAGTTTAAATCTTTTCAGCTGGAAATCCCTGTGACAAGTAAGCAATAATCCCTGCATGGTACGATGAAATCCAGGTTCATCCAGCCCACAGCAGCAGGGAATCTATAATAGGTGTTTTAAAGTCTGTGATCTCTAACCTTTCTTATGAATCCTATCAGCAGACAATGAGACATGACCTCAAACTTCAAAGGAAACATAGAAATCAAAGGTGGAGTGGCACATGGATTGTACAACAGGTTCCAGATGATTGTACAGAGCTGTATATGGGATTCAGCCTCAGTTTCAGCATTCCTTATGCTTATGATTTAAGCCAGGGTGTTAAAAACAAGTTGATGGGTCAAATGCAATTCAGAAACTTTCCTTTTAACTTGAATATGAATTTTACAAAAGCAGAATTGTTCCTTTGCTTTACTTTTAACTGCTTTCCCTCAGAAAAGGCTCCCTAATTAGGATTTAACTCAGCGAGTCTAATGGAAACATTAGGTATCTGACAAAACTCTGTCCAGGTGTTGGTGCCACATGTCAGTGTGTAAAACCACCAGAGTTCGAGAGCCTGCGTAGGGTGATGTGAAAATCTCATGAAAATCAGAAAACAACATGGATTAAAACACTGCAGAGCATGAATGACAATATTTCTATCAATCTAGAT